GGTGGCAAAGGGAGAGGGAGAGAGAGAGTCCCAGGGTTCTGTGCCCAGCCCAGGGCCCAATGCAGAGCCCACTACGGGGCTCAGTCTCACAACCCTGAGATCATGACCTGAGTTGAAAACAAGAAATCGGATGCCCAACAGACTAAACTACCCAGGTGCCCCGTGCATTTTTCAATCCATTATTTGAGATGGCTTATGATTCCTCCTCAGAATTCTCTTCTTAATCTCTATGACACCACTCCCTCCTGTTTTCTTTCAGCCTTTTGATCACTACTTCTCACTTGTGGAATCACTTTTTTTAGCTGCTACTAGTTGGCTGAAGACTTGCAAGTCTATCTGGCCTGCCTTGAGGCTCTTTCCTGAGAAACCTGCCTTTTGGTTTTTATTTGTATTTCCTGTTGCTTGCTGGGAATTTTTACTTCAGTGTCCTGCAGGCATAGTTCAGTTTAGTATATCTGAAATTGACTTTGTTATTTCTCACTGCCCATCAACCTGTTTCTTCTCTTGGCTTCCCAGTCGTGGTGAATGATACTCTGTTCAGCCAGTAACTCAGGTGAGAAGCCTGGCATTGCCTTCAGTTCTTCCTTCTCTCTCAGTAACTCCAATAAATGCAACAAATATTGCTAATGTTATCTTAGTTAATCGTCACAGAAACACTATAGAGAGGAATTGTTATTCTCATTTTAAAGATGAAGAATTAGATTTTCAGGTAAGTTAATGTAGTTTTGTAAGTACTAGAGCCATGGTTAAATTCCAGTTGAGAGAAAGTTGGCTTTCCAGATCCTTTACTCTAACCATACTAAACCGTTAACCATCTTCATTGTTTCTTGCTTCTACACATGTTGTTATTTCTTTAGATCTCTAATTTCCTCACACTCAGTTTTAGATCAGGCATTAACTCTTCTGTAGAATCTCTCCCCTTCTACAAGCCAGACGGCTCTCTTATGTTCCAGTAATGCTGTCTAAAACTTTTAACACTCAGCACATTGTGTCATTAGACTCTTGTCTTTGAAGACGATACTGAGGACAGTACTGATTCTTGCTCATTTCTCTATCTCCCATATATAATGCCTGATATAGATAATACATTATGTAAATTTTGGTGAAGTAAAAGAGAAAATTATAAAATAAAGAACTTCAGAGTCTAAAGTAAGGGGTGAATGTATGTTGTTCTTTCCTTATTGAGAGACAGCAATTCCTAACAGAGGGAAGCTTTCTTTTTAAAATTCTAAACCTTATGTCCTAAATAGCCCTGGTAAAATTAGCTGGAATACACACATCTTTATTCTCTCCAGCCATTTCTAGTAAGTAATTTTTTAGGAAAAAGAATACAAAAGAAGTTGTATCATTTTGGGTTTCTGAAAGAAACATAAAAGGAAATACACTCTGCAAGTAATTGAAATGTAGTGGTGTTTAGTATTTTCCTTCCGATTTTGGGTTTGGTTAAGAACTTTTGATTCTAGATGAAGAACTGATAGTTATTCCAACCAAAGCTCACACAGCTTAAAATTCTTTGGGAATTGGGGATTTCTTGGCCAGGGATAGAATGAAAAATAAAAGGCAGTTCACATGTGTGAAGGGGGAATAAATTAGTACCAACTAGCTCATCCTATCTCCATCTGAGCCAGTTGGACACAGAAACAAATAGCCAGTTGGTTCTTATTGTAGACCCTTAATATAAACTTCTTATTCTGGTAAGCACAGAGAGCAAAAAGGTAAGCCATAAACGGAAGAAGATATTTGTGATGATTGACAAAAGAATTTGTATATAGAATATGCAAAGAGCTCTGTAAACCAATAGAAAAATGAGCAAAAGATGAACAGGAATTTCAAAAGAGAATATTTGAATGGGCAATAAGTATGTTTGTCATCAGAAAAATAAATATTAAAACCACAACAACAGACCCACTAAAATTAAAAAGACTGATAATACCAAATGGTGACAGTGCAGAACAACTGAAACTCATACATTGCCAGTAGAAATGTACAGTAGTCAACTACTTTGGGAAAATGATGTTTCTACTAAAGTCAAATTTACATCTACCTTATAACCCAGCAATTCTACTCCTAGGGTATACCCAAGGGAAATGAGTGCAGATGTCTCCTACCCAACAAAGATACGTAGCATTATGTTCATAGTATCTCTCTATATAGGAGCCTCATATTGGAAATGACCCAAATGCTCAGTAGTAGAGTGGAAAAGTTTTATTATTTTTATACTGTGGAGTACTAAACTGTAATTCAAAAGAAAATGCTAATGCTACATACAACAACATGGATGATTCTCACAGACGTAATATTGAGCAAAAGAATCCAGACACAGAAGAAAATATATGAAGGCATGTAGATGGGGCAGGTGAAACCAGGCATCATGATAATAAATGGTTATAGTGGTTATCTCAGGATTTGGGGGCAGGGGGAGGTGGATATTGATGCGGAAGAGGAACAAAGGAGCTTTCTTTGGTACTGGAAATGTTTTGTATTTGATCTGGATTGTTGGTACATGAAGGTATACCATGATAAAAATTCATTGATCTGTATACATGTTAGGCATTTCCACTTTTCTGCGTATACTTTAATTTAAAAAGTAACATGCAGGGGCGCCTGGGTGGCTCAGTCGTTAAGCGTCTGCCTTCGGCTCAGGTTATGTTCCCGGTGTCCTGGGATCGAGCCCTGCATCGGGCTCCCTGCTCAATAGGAAGCCTGCTTCTCTCTCTCCCTCTCCCACTCCCCCTGCTTGTGTTCCCTCTCTTGCTGTGTCTCTCTCTGTCAAATAAATAAATAAAATCTTTAAAAAAAAAAATGCATATATAGAGATTGAGTAAGGTAAGTACCATACTTAGTCCTGGTTTTTTAATTCAAAACATGCCCTTTACAAGAGATAAGTGAAGGGTGTTGACAGAGGGGAACCAGGATAACTTCAGTTTTCTGCAGTACTTCAAAGATCACAAATAAGTCATAGGAGAAAAAAACCTGCCAAGCAGGGGTTGTCTTTCTTCTCCAGAGAGGAAAATAGGAAAATCATGATGAGTATTTTGAAAAGGAGTTTTAAAGCAAGTGATTCCTCAAAGATTTTAAGTCCCTTGCCTAACAGTACATGTGTGACAACTACTACAGTGTTCCTAGTGGGAATATGGTACATTTGAGATGGTAGAAAGACTAAGAATCACTTCTCTAGAGCATTTCTTCATTGCCATTAAAATTCCTTGCTTTGCCTGTTCTGTAAGGGTCACTTAACATTTGAGCATGTACATCTCTGTAAAATTCAATTATACATACCTATATTTTAGTTTAGTAAACTGTACTTCAGAGGTTTTTCTATTTTTATGGGAGTCCTGGGTCAAAAACTAGTGAAAGAGAACAATTAACTCCTGAAATTCTGTTCCATGATTAACTTCATTTTGTTAGTATGAATTTATTTATTTATTTATTTATTTATTTAAAGATTTTATTTATTTATTTGAGAGAGAGAGAATGAGAGATAGAGAGCACAAGAGGGAAGAGGGTCAGAGGGAGAAGCAGACCCCCCCGCTGAGCAGGGAGCCCGATGTGGGACTCGATCCCGGGACTCCGGGATCATGACCTGAGCCGAAGGCAGTCGCCTAACCACCTGAGCCACCCAGGTGCCCTGTTAGTATGAATTTAAATGTTCTTGGGTCATTAGTGGTTTTTTTTTTATAATGAATGACAGTGCTGATAGTTCAGTTTTATAATTAGCTTTCTATTCACTTATCAATACATATTTGAGGGAGTTTTTTTTAATCTAGTGTATCTATTTTACTTTACCATATAGTAAGTAATTCAGTGAAGTAGATTAACCCTTAATGGTACACACGAGGCATCTTAAAAACTAGTCCCTAGGTGAGTGAGGTTGAGTGGAGAATATGAATAATAATAATAGGGGCTCTCAGGAAGTATCCAGGCCTTCTCTAATCTCAGGTGAATGCAAAGATGGTATTCTTTGAGGAGTGTATCTTCTTCATTCCCTGCCAATGATCTTTTAGGGCTAGAATCTTTCAGATGTTAATTCACATCCAAGTACCTCCCTGTCTGTGACCTGTACTTAGGGGAGGAGGAGAAGACATAGGCATGGTGACCCTCAGTCCAGAGGTCTTACTATTAATGACTTTGGGCTCTTATTCCTGCAGTGCACCTCCCTGTATGTCCTCAATTTGGATTGTTCCAGTGAGGAAAAGATTCTGTTCTTCCCGGCACCAATTGGATATTAGCTTCTATTTTTTTTTAGTATGTCTCATCTTTATGAGGATAAGCAAAGAGTATTATTGCAATAGTTAGTGGAGGGAATGTTAAAGAAAATGTAGTAAAATAAGTAAAATTGCTGTAAGATAGAGGAATCAAATGTCAGGGGAAATCTGTGCACATAAGCTAGTTAGCACTCATAGTAATCATAAAACAAGAGATGTGTCTTTGCTGATACTTAGGAACTCATTGAAAGCCACTTCAATTAAGTAACCTATTAAGTTGAGAACTGAAATGTCTATAAAAGACATAATCTGATTTATGACTCACATATGGATAAGTGCTGTTTTTAGTGCTTACAGAAAGAGTAGTTTCTTCATGTAATCTAAAAATGGTACAAACAGGACAAATAATACGTATTTTTAGTTCTAAGAACAAGAGACAGGGAAACAGTGCTAATTAACGAAAGAACGTGCTTGTAATGTAACAAGATTTATACCGTAGAATTAGGTTATGATACACTCAGTGACTATGAAGCACAGTAAAGAAGTTTAAGGGATTAAATTGAACATTTTGCTCTAATGAAACTGAAAAATTATATTTGATAACCAGGACAGTTTTTGACAGAGAACTTAAGGTCACTCTATTCACTAATCCTGCAAATGTCCAATATTCTCTTTTAACGTGTAAAATATTAGGGAAACATATTTTTAGGTTGTAAGCATTTTCAATAAAAACTGATGGTGTTTCTGTTATACCAAATTACATTTTCCTTTTTTCATTTGTTTTTTTCCCCCTAGGAAACTGACTGGACATTCTTTCCACATGGGCTATAGCATGGCAATTTTGAATGGCATTGTTGCTGCTCTTACTGTAGCATGGTGCCTCATGTAAACCCACACTGAAGCAATATTTTTGGCAAAACTTAGTCATGATTGCTTTGTAATAACAGGGAAGAACATCATTTCATCATTTGTCTACTCAGAAGACCAAGAAACCTGCTGTTATGTGGTTCAGATATGTCATACCATCATCATTATGGAGGACCTTCTTTTTTTTTTGTAAATGGAGGACCTTCGTAAGCACCATTCTAGAACTTAGACATTGAGAATATCTGAGTATTAAGTTTCAAGTAATTTCTCAAAAATGTAAGATGTTTACCTCGTCTTTTTACTTTTGTGTGCATTGTCCTTATAAATTATAGAAACATTTTAGTGGAATTCAAACATGAAAACTTGAATATGGGATGTTATGTATAATACTACAATTTTGCTAAGAAATACTAGTAGACTGTTTAAATGAGATAGAAATACTTCTTATTTATTCATGGTATTAGAAAAGCAAACAATGCCTACTACTTCGACATTTTATAGAAGCTACTTTGAAATCAGAATATTTAGTTTTCAATAGTCATAATCTACGGAAGGTGCATTTATATTTTTTAATGGGGTATAATTCCTTATGTGTTTTTTTTATATATTTTCCTACTACATATTGAATTTGTATGTTTTTTAAATTGCTACATCTAGACAAATGTATATGTTATTTTTTAGCTGGTGGAAACCTAATACCTACCATTTTAAATAAGTATTTTGTTTTTTTTTTTAAACAAAAAAAACCCCCACAAAAAACAAACACATTGATCTGAGTTTCAAATTAAGTAAACCTATTTTAGCAAAAAAATCTGATAAAAAGTAAATTACTTAAGCCATTAAAATATTTGAGAAAGTTGAAGTTGTTCATTATTTCTATTTCCACGGTTGTGAATATTTGTCTTCGTGTGTATATGATTACTCCAACGGAACTGATACTATTTTGTTTTTAATAAATATAAATCTGAAATTTTTATATTTAGAAATGCTTGAACTACTTTGTTTTTAATCTCAACAGTTTAGTTACCAAAATAGAAAAGATATTTTGATAGTGTATATGTTTCATAGTTTTCGTATTTAAATGTTCTTCTACAATTGTGGTGTTTGTTTTTGTTTTCATAGTAATTAAGCTTAATTGTTCCCACTTCTTTTCTAAATACCTGTTTAGAAAGTCTCTTCAATTTTAGAAAGATGGGCTATTTAAAATGCCAGTTTTCCCTGGCCATAGAAAAATTTCTATTAGGAAAGCATTGTGTAGCAAAACTACTTATTCAGGCTGAATGGGAAATGAGTATGTGCAGTGTGTTCCTGTTAGGTGCTAGGTGTTGTTACTGAGTAAATGATTTAATGATATTTCTAAAAGTCTTAACACATTTTTGCTACTCAGAAACCTTCCATTGGAAATGACAAATGCTGCTCCAATTTAAATTATCTGAAGCGGTTAGATTAATATGGGGGTGGGGTGTGTGTGTGTGTGTGTGTGTGTGTGTGTATATATATATATATATCCCATGGCTTAAAGTATTCCTTCCAAAGTGGTCGAAATGAATTTATTTTCACTCTCTGTCTTTCTCCTCACCATCTCCCAGCTCTTCCATTGCAATTGAATGTACAGGTAACAAAATTAGTTTTCCTTCTCTCCACCTTTCCAAACCTTCCCCCCACCCCACCCAATTTGGATAGCTCCTTCCAGATTCTTTGTGTCCTATGACTAAAAAAAATATTACAGTACACCCTCTATATGTAGGTATCTATAAGATATTATATATATATAATATAAATACATATAGAAGTATATCTGTAAGATAGTTCTTCTGGACTAGCACTCCTCTTTCTTGGGAAGTTCCTCTCTCCAATTCATCATAGGGTCCAAATATAAACCATCCTACTTCCATAGCAGAGTGATTGAGTAAGGATAGGTATGTAACCAAAGCTAGGTCAGTCCTAGCTTCTCATCCCTCTGGGCCACAGTGATTGCAACAGGGGTGCCAGAAAGATTAGATTTCAGTGAAGACCTCTTCCTGGCTTACAGAGAACTGTCTTCTCATTATATCCTTACTTGGTGGAGAGAAGGCCAGCTATCTTCCTCTTATAATGATACTAATTTCATCATGGGGCCTTCACCCTCATGACCTAATTACCTCCCAGAGCACTACCCCCTAATACTATCTTATTGGGGCTTAGAGTTTCAACAAATGAATTTGGGGAGGGGATAAACCTGCAGTCCATAACAATATCCAATATCAAAAGTAGCTTCTTCGAAAAGATAGATTTCTAGTAAAACATTTTAAAGGAAGATTTTCTATATTTGTCTATTTTTCCATTTCTGCTCTGTTCTTGATTGTATCAGGGCCCTATATTGCAAGCAACAGAAACCATCTGGCTGACTTAAGAAAAGGGAATTTAATGGGATATCCAGTCGCTCTCAGAACTGGTGGGCGGGAACCACGAGAGTACTAGAGGAGAAAAGTACTCAAGGAGGAAGCAAAGGGACTGTTTGATAGTGGGAACAGCCTGGTCAGGATGATCTAATGAATCATTCCTGTCATTTGTTCTTGCTGCTTGCAAGATCAGCTAAGGGTTTGGAGTCCTTCGAGAGAGTGCACAATTGGCCCAAGATTGGGTTATGTGCCTACCCTTTTGGCTGCTGTAATTGAGGGTAGCATCTGGAGTTCTTTGGGGATGCGTGAATGGGTAGTGACAAAGACAAATGTTCACTACACTTCACTCTTGGCTGTTCAATTTCCATACATATACTATTCCTTTTATACTTCAATTTCCAAATGTACTCATGCCTAACAATGCAGCTATCATTTACTACATCCAAGGCCAAGGCCTTCAGGCCATGTTCATTTTTCTAGTTTTACCACATTCTCACTGATGTTCTGCAAATTACACTGAACGGTTTGTGTGTGTGTGTGTGTGTGTGTGTGTTTTAGAGAGAAGCATGAGTGGGGAAGGGCAGAAGGAAAGGGAGAGAGAGAATCTTAAGCAGGCTCCACGCCCAGCACGCAGCCTGACATGGGCCTTGATCTCATGACCCTGAGATCATGACCCGAGCTGAAATCATGAGTCAGACACTCAGCCGACTGCGCCACCCAGGCGCCCCCGAACAGTCATTTTAATATTAACACAAACAGCAGGAAGAGATGGGAAATTTGTTTAAATACATGTTACGTATGACAGCAAGAAAATACAGGTGGGAGTTACTGTTTTATTTAAGAACTGGATCGTGAGACTTTACTTCTGCATCTGTTCTTTTACTTTTGTCTTGGCTACTACCTTGACCAATTAGGTTTCTTCCCTAATACAGTGACCAAATTTGTTTTAGACAGGACTAAGCTCTTGTTTCTTTCACCACCAAATATGGTAATACAAGAACACACCTCAGAGAATCTTCAGTTTTCCCTCTATACTCTTCCCTGTTCTTACATGTGACAGCAACTGTATTATACGGTTAAAACACCCCAACTAACATGGCAACCCTCTTTTTTGCCAGATTACCTAGTGGCATAAAGAATCCAAAATTACCATGTGGCAGTTTGAACTTGCAGTTACTTTCAACTGATTTCATTTGAACTCTTAAATACTAAAATCTTTAAAAACAGTAGCATCTAGAGTCAGAGGAACAAAAAGCAAAAACTTTATGAGAGGGTAATTGGGTATAATAGTGAGAGGCTTTCTTAGTTCTTGGAGCTTATGTAGGAACAGGAGAAATAGCATTAGAAATCAGTTGTTGGATATAAATATATACTGCATTCGGAAAGACCCCAACTTTAAGTGCTGTCTGTCAGTTGGCTTCATAAGTCTTCCAAGAGCTTTATCTCACCTCTTCTGTGTAATTAGCTCCTTTGCCAGAGCAATGTCGTGTGGTAATCCATGATAATGTATAAATTATTTAGTAAATCCATAAATGGTGGTGCTGCCAGAAGTATCACAGATAAGCAAAAAGACCATGTCTGCCGGTGAGGACAAAACTAAAACATTGCTTCTTCTAATGGGATTAATTGGCTACCAGGTAGCTGGCTGACACTGCCCCCCTGCTGCCAACATGATACCAGTAGAAGGGGTCTGGCAAAGAGAAGTGTGGGAGGTAGGCAAGGTGAGGGAGGGGAGGGAGCAGTAGTCAGAAAAGCCTCTGAAGGTGTGGTTCTGTTTGTATACTCCATCCCTGCCATCCTGGCACTTTGTTTATACTCTCATTTAGCACCAGCTTGACAAGATACCAACATTTACAGAAGAGGTGGTCTTGTCTACCTAATTATTCAGAGACTCGTTCACAGTGAGGGCTTTGCTGTATTAACATAGCTCAGAAATATTCTCACATTCTGGATCCATTTTAAGAGATCCATCTATATACCCCTTTCAACCTTTCTTAAGTTGACACCAGTCCTTTTCCAAGCCCCTGAGAATCCAGCCAAACCCCATGTTCATTTTCCATGAATATACATAATCTTATTGTATACCATATCTCTTCAGGCCAAGGAGACGAACTACTCAAAGCTCTGCTCCGTAGGAGGACTTCCCTTTCTTGCCCTTTGCTGCGACCCATGAACAGGGGGTTTAATGCTTCCCACCACCTCCTTTGTGACAGGTAGTAACGCAACACACAGAACCACCTCTAAGTCAAGCTTGAATTTTTTTCCAACATCAGTTATCCATATGGAGCTCTCATGAGGCCATAGTTGTGAATTGAATGAAAGAGGCAGCATGGCAGGGGAGCGTACTGGGAATGTGATCACTCCACTACTCATGCCTTTAGGACTGGCTCAGGACACTTTTCCTGAATGATAGAACTCAAAAGGATGCACTTAGGTCAGTGCATTCTCAACTGAGGGCAATTTTGCTTCTCAGAGGTAAAATTTAGCAATTTAATATTTAACAAAGTTTAGAGACGTTTTTGATTGTCACAATTGCAGGGTGCTACAGGCAACTAGTTGATAAGAAGCCAGGGATGCTGCTAAACATACACAATGCTCAGGACAGCTCCCCACAAGAAAAAATAATTTGAGCCAATCAATAGTGCCAAGGTTGAGAATGTCTGATTTATATTTATGTCTAGATGAGTTGGATAACATCTTGTTCGGAATGGACCCAGGGTCAGGGTTACTTGGAGTTCCGAGATGAGGTGTTCATTCTCCAAAAAGCCGGATAAAATGAGCTGTTCCTCAAGAGCAAAGAGTTATTAGCCTAAGAGGACTTATCTTGGTGCCAGTACCCATTGGACCTCTGGCTGGCAAGGTCTGTCACAGACACTAGTCATTAACTGCAATGGCCTTGTATATTACTAAAGTTTCCCACATAATACTACTTCCAGTCAAAGAATTCACTTAAAAAATCCACCCACAAAACATTTTCTTCGCATCTCTATATGATGCCTGTTTTGTACTGACAGGAGAAAGGCTTCAATAAAGATTATATACAACAATGCTATTGTTGAATTGGAAGCTGAGACCACATTTGGCCATTTCAAGTTCTTTAAAGCACTGGGCACTGACAAAATGGGTGTTAAGGTGCTGGAGTGGTTGATAATCCACCAAGGGGAAATCAAGTTACTGCT